ACATACATACATACATACATACATACATACATACATACATACATACACACATACATGCATACATACATACATACATACATGGCTCAAGCCGCAAGTGGGTCAAGGAGGCTGCCCACAAAGACCTCCTCGCGCGGCGCTCCCAGGCGAACGTACGTCATTGGCTTGCCTTCACCAGGTGCCTGGTACTACTTCCGTGATAGAGAGGGACGCAGAGGAGGGCAACCCTTTCCTGTGACCTACCTGCGCGGCAACTTTCGGGACATCCAGTTCTTCCTGGGCACGTTCCTTGCCCTTTAGACCCACCTCGAAGACCTTCTGCCTTCTTACAGATCCTCGACTATGACAGCATCGAGGGCTATACCAGCTGGTGCAGGGCTTTCTATTCATTTGTCTCCCAGGTCTGTCATTGCTGGCGTCCGCCCTTTTCCATTGGCCATGTAGCATTTCTATTGATTTGTCTCCCAGGTCTGTCATTGCTGGTGTCCGCCCTTTTCTGTTGGCCATTCAAGTCTGTCACTGCGCTGGAAGGTCAGAGAGCGGACAGGTTGGTCATTGTGTCCGCCTTGTCTCCCTTCTGTCTCCCTTTGTGTCCGGTCTTTTCTCCCTTCTTGTGTCCGTCGTCCCTTCTTGTCTCCGGTCTTGTCCTTCCTTCTTGTTGGTCACTGTGTCCGTCTTGTCTCCCTTCTATCTCCTTTTGTCTCCCTTCTTGTCTCCCTCTTGTTGGTCATTGTGTCCGTCTTGTCTCCCTTTGTCTCCAGTCTTGTCTCCCTTCTTGTTGGTCATTGTGTCTGTCTTGTCTCCCTTCTGTCTCCAGTCTTGTCTGGCTTCTTGGCCGTTCTTGTTTGTCATTTTGTCCGTCTTGTCTCTGTTCTGTTTCCTTTTGATTCCCTTCTCGTCTCCCTTCTTGTTGGCCATTGTGTCCGTCTTGTCTCCCTTCTGTTTCCTTTTGTCTCCCTTCTTGTTGATGTTCAATAAGTGAACTTGGGAATGCTTCGTTGTTGTCCTACCTGTTTGGGGTCTACGGTGGTGTATTTTTTATTTACTTAGTTTTTTAATTGACATACATATTTACTTACTTATTCACATACTTATCTATTTACTGAATTCTTTATTTACGTACTTACTTCCTAGACTGACTCTCATGACTTTACTGAGTGTTTTGACTTTCATTTACTTTGCTTACTTTACTTGCTTTTCTTATTTTATTTACTTTTCTTATTTTACTTACTCTACTTACTTTATTTACTTACCTTACTTACCACACTTACCTTACTTACTTTACTTACTTTACTTTACTCTACTCTACTTTGCCTTACTTACTTACATACTCACTCATTTACTTGCTTGCTGGCTTACTTACTTATTTACTTACTTACATACTTTCTTTCTTTCTTTCTTTCTTTACTTACTTACTTACTTACTTACTTACTTTACTTACTAACTAACTCACTCATTTACTTGCTTGCTTGCCTGCTTGCTTGCTTCCTTACTTACTTACTTACCTACCTACTTACTTACTTACTTACCTACTTACCTTACTTACTTACTTACTTACTCACTCATTTACTTGCTTGCTTGCTTACTTACTTACTTACTCACTCACTTACTTACCTACTTACTTACTTACCTACCTACCTACTTACTTACTGACCTACCTACCTACTCACCTTACTTACTCACTCATTTACTTGCTTGCTTGCTTGCTTGCTTGCTTACTTACTTACTTACCTACGTACTTACTTACTCACTCACTTACTTGCTGACTTACTGACTTACTGACTTTCTCACTCATTTACTTGCTTGCTTACTTACTTACTTATTTACTTCCTTACCTTATAACTCACTCATTTACTTGCTTGCTTGCTTGCTTACTTACTTACTCACTTACTTGCTTACTTACTTACTTACTGACTTACTTCCTTACTTTCTCACTCATTTACTTGCTTGCTTACTTACTTACTTTCTTACCTACTTACCTACTTACTTACTTACTTACATACTTACTTACTTTCTCACTCATTTACTTGCTTGCTTGCTTGCTTGCTTACTTACTTACTTACCTACCTACTTGCTTTCTCACTTACTTTTCACTTCCTCACGTACTCACTTGGCTTTTCACTTATTCCCTTACTTACTCACTTCCTTCCTTGCTTGCTTGCTTGCTTCCTTTCTTTCTTCCTTCCTTCCTTCCTTCCTTCCTTCCTTCCTTCCTTCCTTCCTTCCTTCCGTCTTATTTCCTTACATTCTTACTGTCTTTTTTACTTTCTTACTTTCCTCTTGTCCTACTTTCTGTATTCGCTTATTCACTTACATATATGAATACATACATGCATACAAACATACAGACAGACAGACAGACAGACAGAGAGCGACAGACGGACAGAGAGCGACAGACAGACAGAGAGCGACAGACGGGAAGGACGGACGGACGGACGGACAGACAGCAGACAGACAGACAGACAGACAGACAGACAGACAGACAGACAGACAG